GTCAACATTTCAAAAACAAAACAGATCTTGGACCATTGACATATTTGTTTTCAATGGTGAATCCAAGTTCAAAATTAACAAGAATGAGATTAGACTTAGAAGATTATGACTTTACTGTAGAATATCTCAAGGGCAAAGACAATTTCGTTGCTGATGCATTATCACGCTTCACAATAAAAGAATTAAAAAACATATCAGCTAACGTACTAAAAGTCACTACAAGAAGTTCAAGTAGACAGAATAAATCCTGCGCAGGACCAAAATCCGAATTGCAAAAGCAACCGGACACTTCGATGCCCAATATATATAACGTCATCCGAAATGATGATGGTAAGAAAGTAGTGAGCTTGCACTTAAATTTGGCCAAATGTTTCTTAAAACATGGACAAAAGATTATTGCAAGAATTGATGTTGTCGATCTCTATACCAATGGAGTCTTTGATTTAGATCAATTTTTCCAAAGGCCTGAAAAAGAAGCCGGTATATATAGTATCAAACAACTCAAAATGGCACCGTGCGAAGAAATCTTTGAATACGTTTCAATAGATTCCTTTTAAGAAATGGGCAATAAGAAATTGAAAAACCTAAGAGTAGCGCTACTCCAGCCGGTGACTACAATAAAAAGTAATAAAGAAATCGAAAAAATACTGTCTACGTTCCATGATAAACCAATTCAAGGAGGGCATACGGGAACAACAAAAACTATTGGAAAAATAAAACGCTATTACTATTGGAAAAATATGACGCGTGATATCGCGAATTATGTGAAAAAGTGCCCAAAATGCCAAAAATCAAAAGTGTCAACACACACTCGAACCCCTTTAACACTAACAAAGACACCAATTATGGCTTTTGATAGAGTAGTAATAGACACGATCGGTCCACTACCAAAATCAGAGCAAGGTAATGAATACGCAGTCACACTGATATGCGATTTAACAAAATACCTTGTTGCCATACCAACACCCAACAAAAGTGCAAAAACCGTAGCAAAAGCTATTTTCGAAGATTTTATTCTGAAATATGGTCCAATGAAGACGTTCATTACGGACATAAGAATTAAACATAGGAGATAACGTACTGTTAAGAAATGAAACAGGGCATAAGTTAGATCCAGTATATATGAGACCATTTAAGGTCATAGAAATAGAACCTAACGATAACATAGTTATAAAGAATAATAAGAACAAAAAAAACCAAAAAAAAAAACAGGATGGTTGGCCACCATTATAAAAACAAAAACAAAGAAATATCAATTCTTCTTTTAATATTCATTTATTCATATTTTATATTCATTATATATTACTATATTAAAAAAAAATAAACAAAAAAAAACTATTCAATTATTGTAACTTCAATTTTATTTTCAAAAAAAAATAAAACAAAAATTTTTTTTTTATAATTCATTATATTCATTAATTACTTATTTTGAATTAAATTAAAAAAAATGTTCCCTCAAATAACTATAATTTTTAAAAAACTACATATAGAATTTTACGTTATTTTTAAAAAAAGGGAGGTGTAGCATGAGCAACATATTTATAATACATACCCAACCAATGCAAGGTTATATGAGATCAAATAAACAATAACCCATTTATCGCAACCCAAATCGTCCACTCATAAGTGGCGTGACCATATCGCAGAATATGCATCGTCTGCGTATTCTACCGAATACCATTTCTTTGTCTTGCAATATATATATGCTCAATGTATATGCTTTAAGTGTATGCATATATACATGCTCCCGCTCTGCCGCTGTACTCAGCGACTGAGACTTATATACAAAACTCTAATGTTAGACTTAAGAACAAACATATAATTGAACGACACATCAGTCGATAAAATATCATCAACGTCTTAGGACGTATTCCAATAAATGATCAATAAAAGTAAAACTGTTTAATTAATTTTACATGGTACATAAAGCAGATCGAGGTTTCCAGCTCGTAGTGTGAAGAAAGAACCCATCCGAGTACGTACTGCACTGCTCTTTTCCGTTCTAGCCAAAAAAGTATTTTGAAAGCTTAGTGAGATGAGCGAGTTTTCACAACCTAAAGCTACCGACGTAATCAGGCACGATTTTTATGTCGACGATTTATTGACTAGTGCTGCAGGCGTAGAGAACCTAAAGACGATTAAGTTTGAAGTATCGTAAATACTTCAAAACGCTGGTTTTTAACAAATCAGATGGCATTTGAATTCTCCTGAGTTCTCCGCAATAAACGCAGCCAAGCTTATAACGATCTCAAAGCCTGACATATCCAAAACACTTGACGTAATGTGGTTGCCGAATGAAGATGATTTCGATTTAAGATAGACGATTCGTTCATAGGTCTCATAGCGACAAAATGAAACCTTATCTCGCTGACTTCGCGGCTATTTGACCCACTTGGCCTGTTAAGGCCTCTGACCAACAAGGCAAAAATCCTACTCAATGCGCTCTGGCTTCACAAATTACTCTGGGATGTTTCCATTCCTATGAATTTGGATAACTCGTGGCAGCAACTGAAATCAACTTTGATTGTTGCAAAGCACAAAGATACTATAATGTGTTTACAGTGCCAACTACACTTCCTAGTACCGCGATTACTAGGATTTGCCGACGCTTCAATAAGAGCGTTTAGCGCATGCGTATATATACGCAGCCATTCTCCATAAGGTCTGATTCTGAAGTCACGCTTAATTAAATTCCGTTACATCCTTCTTTGTAGGCAGCATTTGTGTCGAATTAAGTGGCTGAAACACAAGAGTTGACAGAGAACACTAAATGGTGCCGTGCACCTACAATGCAAAACGCAGCAGATATCGTTTGGAGACGCTGTGATGTTGACGCGTTACTTGTGTCGATTCGGTTAGATGGACCTTCATTTTTAAAGAATCCAAGACAGTCTTAAGCTATTTATACATGAGTATAATGGATCTTGGTGCTTGGACTTGCAAATGCTTCTTTTTCGTATGATGTCAAGCCTCCGCTACTTCTCAATAATAGCTCGCAAATCGCTAAAAGCTTTATTAGATTCCTACGTTTGATGAACTGTCATGCTGGCCCAAAAAAACTCGGGAGTCTTCCTTGCGAATTAACGCCCATGAGGCAGACAAGTGAGATCATACATTCGATACTTTAAATGCAAACCTCGTCTGCTAACGCAAATTATGGAAAATTTACCAGCAGATCGACTCCGAGCGCTCCGCCCATTTTATATTTGTTGCGTCGATCTTTGTGACAATCTGCCGCCCCATCAGTGGAGCACGCAGGAGAGGACGGAGTCGTTGGGGTAGTAGAAGTCAACACGGCCAGTGCTTTAAAATTTAAAAGGTAGATCCACAAGTTGGTACGACTGTGAGTTTAATAAAGCTAACACAGGCCGGTGTTAGTGCAGATCAGCGCGGTCATTAATATAATTTGATTTAATTTTAAGTCTAGTGTAAATTCGGTCTAGGACGGATCGAGAGCGCAATAAAGATTTAGTCACTCGCTTAGTGAGCGAATTCGACTCGTTTTGCCACCGTAGCTTAATCGAGTCATAAGAATTTTTTTAGGGCCATCTTCTGTTTAGTAATATATAAACTAATATAAACTTTTAGTATCTAGGCTAATATATTTTTCACAAAAAACTCATATATCAACTGTTCAATGAACTTCACAAACGAAGTGACGCAAATCAGCATCGACCAGCTTTGCCGAATGACTTCGGTGTAATGTATCAGCATCAACATATGATTGAGTGGCTTTTGGAACTAACCTTTTTTGGTTTGTAAAATGCAATAACGAATGAATGCTTGACATTTCAACCACATATTTTCGAAAAGGATAGGTAAGCTTTCTATGTGGAAATTGACAACACAAATAGAAAAAAATAAATTCAGCCCATAAAAACCAGTCGACGAAAACCCCTAGAGCATACATAAAATTTTTTAAGAAACCATATTAATATTCAACTATACAAAACGATTCTTGCATTTTTGCATCTATAACAAGTAAGAGGTTCTAGTCGGGACCTTCCAACTAGGGGATACCCTGAACCCAATACCAAATGCTTTAATATTTATAAAGAAAAATTAAAAAAAAAAAATTGTTCCCTTGACAGGGTTCAAGCTCGCCAAGCCACACCAATAATTGAGTTTTAATGAGAAAAAAACCAATAAGAATAGCAGCACAGAAAACAATACAATCGCAATTGCAATGTTGATAGCATTCAAAGCAGACACGCATGAATGTGTGTGTGTACATGTATACAGAAATTCTTGGAATTTGCGCAGCAGCAGCATAACTTTTGTGTTTCTTAACCGATCTTAATGAAATTGTCGACAGTACATCTTATTGTAGAATAGAATAAAGAATATTTGTGTATTCTCAAAAATTCAATTGCATATAAATTGTGGCTTAAATTGATGGGCAATACAAGTCGGATAACTAACTTGCTTTATAGCTTTTTGATGGTAGCGGGCAGGTGGCGGTAGGTATGAAATAGAACTGAAACATGATATATATATACTATTCTGGAAGCTACATGTCAAGTTTGGTGACTCTAGCTCATATTATTTGCCGAAATTGCTCAAAAACTAGGATTTCGATATCGATTTTTATCGATTACTTGGAAAAGGGGTAAGTTATTGAATATCGGAAACAAACTCGATCGGCGCGGGTGCTAGAAGGACCTGCAGCTAATTTCAAGTCTCTAGCTCTTATAGGTTTTGAGATCCTTGCGTTCATACATACGGACGGACGGACATACGGACGGACGGACAGACGGACAGACTGACGGACATGGCTATATCGACTCGGCTATTGATGCTGATCAAGAATATATATACTTTATGGCGTCGGAGATGCTTTCTTCTGCCTGTTACATACATTTGCACAAAAACATTATACCCTTTTTACCAATTTGAATGGGTTCAGGGTATAAATATCAGATATAAAATCAGATCAAATTAAACCACAAACATACTTTTGCTTCATGTTACAAAACATATTTTCAATATTTGCTTCTTACTTTTCCTTATTTTTACTGGACACATTTCGCTCTATACCAAGCATCAAATCTTCAAACCACTGGGCCATTGTCTGTTGTTTTTCAACGGGTTGTCCACGTATAATAGTTTCCTTTAGTGAGCTTTAACAGAATCATTATTGAACACGTTATTTATTGTTTTAAGTCATAACCTTACCGATAATAATCCTCGTAGAGCAGTATGAGTACCAATAATGGGCGAGACATAGACCATTGGTTCCGACAGTCCTCAGCCAGTACATTGTTTAACAATGAAGACATCATGCTTTGTAGTAACTCAGAATTTAGTTCAACTACCTGTAAACGTAACGTATGCCGACGAATTCGTCGTCAAGTATATATAGAAACAAGAAATAACGGCAAAAGTCGGCATGCCGAAATTTATGAACTCAAAGACATATGGCATAGAAGTGCTTTGTACAAAATCTTTGTTACCGACTTATTGTTCCTATAGGAGCTATATTACAAAATATTGCGATTTTATTTGGGCTTGTACATATTAGGATAATAGTGTGGCGCGCGACTTGCAGACACGGCAATATCGACTCGACTAATACATATCAAGAATATGTATATATTATATAGGATCGGAGACCTCTCTTTCACTGCGGTACTTTGAAGCTATTTGTTTATTCCGATTTTTATCTTAAAATCTTAAAATTAACACAAAATGAACAAAGTAACATACATACAGGTGTGCTGCCTTTTTAGTTAATTTAAATAATTTTTTAATTTAATAATACTCTTATCCTAAAACTCATTAAATATATAAAAATAAAAAAATTAAGCTTGAGCAAGGGAGCTCGAAAAATGTTCAGGGTATATCCTAGTCAACTAGAGTAATTTTGTTTTTTTTTTTGTCGTTTGCGATGTTGAGCAGGGTTAACGTGGATAATGAGTTAAACGGTGCAAATCATTTATGTAAATCATCCAATGCAAGAACTAAGCCATCTTAACAAATAAATACAATTTGTGACAAACAGGAAGCCAGGAAGTAATCGACATGAAAATCAACATAGTACCTATGTCCAATAGGAGCGAATGACAATGAATCCCATCAACATTCATTATGTTCTAAAAGGTGATCCAAGCCAGTACTTGCGATTAACCGCTCTACGATGAAGGCTTCGCGCATTTTAATCAATAGTACCTTCCTCGCCACATCGAGCGTAACGCTATAATAACCGGTTCCAAGTTCGCATACCGAAACGATATTACCAACGAGAAAGTAAGGCTATCTTCGGCACGCTGAGGATTTAATGCTCTTGTTACATTTCCCTTTTGCAGATACGTGAGAATAGTTAAGCCGAATTTTTTTCCAATATAAGATCCTACTATTCCCCCGATCTTTCTTACTATGCAGCACCATCGCTTATTCTTATCGCTTATGCTTAGTCGGCTTGCCGATTGTTGTTGCAAAAGCTCCATGTAATGTTTTTTATGCTCCATCCGCTGTGGCTTCTAGTTCTTAAGTTTAGTTTTGTATGAATACTCGATTGTAATACAATAAAGTAATACTTGCTCCCGCAGTTGGCCGTAAAATCACATTGTTATTGTTTGACAAATTATTATTGAGCCTAAGGCCAGTAATAAGAAAGCGAAGTCAAGCTTTCCACCGTAATCGTCCTAATCGTCGTCAATTACAATTCGATCTGACCAGCAGCCTGCACAGAAGACAAACTGGCGCCCAACGTTTAAGAGAAACCCCCCAGCATCTAACATTTAAGAGAAACTCACCAACGTCTTAGACATAAGCTAAGAAAAAGACATGTAAGTGGGTTGTGCATATAATCGTCTACTAAGTCATAAACATTTTTTGTTTCATTGTGCCAGGAAGTGTGTTTTGTGGCATCTTTTCATGCCGAAAATGTGTTTACAGAAGGCCATTGAAAAAACAAGAGTACGTGAAATGTTTACCAGATTGCTTTTTTTGCCTTCTCTGCCAACAAGCTTATGAACTTATTAGCTTATAGGAAAATTAAAAGAGAATTAGACAGTGACGAGGAGTGAGATACCCAGATACAAAGTCATCAACAATATAGAGAAGATTTGGCAGACATGGATGCCACCCAGCTTCAAGCGCTGATTGCCGGCGCAGTTAGACAGGCCTTATCCCACCAAAAAGAAGAATTCAATGCGCAGTTAAGCGCATTAAAAACTCAGGTGAACTCTTTACAGTTAGAAGCACCGCAGGTTGAGGTGTACTGTAGACATAGGAATTAGGTGTGAAATACCGTTAACGTCTGTCCCAGAATTTAGTGGACTCCAAGATGATTATGCGTCGTGGAGGCACGCTGCTACATACGCCTATGAGTTGTTCAAGCTGCGCTCATTATCAGGCTGTAACAATAATTAGAAATAAAGTAAAGAGCTCCCCTTTGCGGAACAAACATCGCTTCGGTTTCTGCGACAGGAGCTAGAAATGGTCCGGCAAGGTGAAGCCCTACTTTCTCAATACTAGGACGAGGTCGAACGAAAGTTGACCCTCGTCACAAATAAAATAATCATGACATATGAGAAATACAAGGCAACGATTCTCAATGATGAAGTCAGAGCAGATGCACTGAATGTGTTTGTGTCCGGCCAAAAGAAGCCGTTGAGATCAGTTGTGTTTCCATCGCAGCTAAAAGACCATCTGCACTGGCCCTATCCAGAGAGGCAGAGGCGAGCATGGAAAGGAGCGCATTTGCGGCCTCGTATGCGAAAGCATTAGAGGAAAAAGCTCAGAATTACAACAACAAAAACAAAAATTGAGAAAGACAGGAAACTGAACGGTCAGATAAAAACCCCCACTATGTTAGGAGACAGTCCAAACTACAGCAGCACAATCCTGGTCAGAACCAGAACAGCTAGACAACACAGTACCAGTCGACACAGCCTATGGACGTCGACCCTTCCTCGACAAGGTTCAGGCAGCAGACAAGGTTCAGGAAATACCAAGCAGCTAGTGCACAGGCCGTAAATGGCCAGGGCCAGAAAAGGCAGAGAAGGGAACAACTGCTACCTTTTTATACCCTGAACCCATTAAAAATGGGTAAAAAGGGTATTATGTATTTGTGCAAATGTATGTAACAGGCAGAAGGCATCTCCGACCCCATAAAGTATATATATTCTTGATCAGAATCAACAGCCGAGTCGATCTAGCCAAGTCCGTCTGTCTGTCCGTCCGTCCGTCTGTCCGTCCATCTGTCTGTCCGTATGTATGAATGCAAGGATCTCAGAACCTATAAGAGCTAGAGACTTGAAATTTTAGCTGTAGGTCCTCCTAGTACCCGCGAAAATCGAGTTTGTTTCCGATATTCGTTTCCAAGTAATCGCTAAAAATCGATATCGAAACTATTTTTTTGAGCAATTTTGGTAAATAATAAGAGCTAAAATCACCAAACTTGACATGTAGCTTCTAGAATAGTACATATATATCAAGTATCTTTTATTTTGTACATATCGCCTGTTCGATGAAGAGGGTTCAGGGTATCCCCTAGTCGGGAGGTCCTGACTAGAACCTCTTACCTGTTCTTACTAGACTCGTTAAATCCGGGACGACATTATAGGGTTCGACTTACTAGCGCAGGTTGGAACGACCCTAGAGGCCGAGAGTGGTGCAATAAAGTATGGAAGTGCATCCGAAAAGCTGCAGCACCACTATTGCAACAGTGTGAGCTTCACTAACGTGAACGATATCGTAGTACCAGTATCAGTAAGAGCGGAATTTATAAACATGATTCTCAACAAAGGCTTTTTCGACCTCTAACGAGGCAAAATCCGAATGATTAATGATATAATAATAATAACAACCCGGTATATTCCAAATTATACCAGCGCGCCACAGGAGTAGCCGATTTCGTTAGAAAAGTTATCAGTAAGCTTCTACGAAATGGCATAATCAGGCCCTCAAAGTCACCTTATAACAATCCGACCTGGGTTGTTGACAAAAAAGGACACGACGGAAACGGTAATAGAAATAAACGCCTCGTCATCCATTTTAGGAAGTTAAACGAGCGAACGGTCGCCGATAAATACCCGATGCCAAACATTCCCATAATATTAGCCAACCTGAGTAAGGCTAATTTTTCAAGGAGAACGTTGAACACCTTGGCTTCATAGTAGCCAGGGGCGGTGCAAAAACTGACCCTGAAATGGGGAAAAATATCCAAGAGCTGAGGTCTTAGCCAGTTACTACAGATGTTTCGTCAAAGATTTTGCTGCAGTTGCAAAGCCAATAAGAAATCTGTTAAAAGGCGAAAACGGCTCCGTAAGCAAGCACATGTCTAAAAAGACTATCATCGAGTTTGATGATGTGCAAGGGGACGCATTCGAGAGGCTAAGAAATATTTTAGCTTCAGAAGACGTCATACTCAGTGTTCCTGATTTCCGAACACCATTCGATCTCACGACAGATGCTTCTGCATATGGTATCGGTGCGGTACTGTCACAAGAAGGCAGGCCCATCACAATGATATCGAGAACTCTAAAAGCGAAACGCATTTCGCAACAAACGAAAGAGAACTCTTGGCCATAGTATGGACGTTGGGTAAGTTGCAGCAATACCTGTACGGTACGCACGGCATCATATCTATACTGATCACCAGCCACCCACCTTCGCTGTCGGATAGAAACCCAAACGCAAAGATAAAAAGATTGAAAGCGTATATAGACGAACACAACGCAAAAATTGTATACAAGCCAGGCAAAGAAAACCATGTAGCGGATGCGCTTTCACGGCAAAACATAAATGCTTGTAGCCATGTAATTGTTATAGGAACCAAATAATTCTAGAGAAGGCACAATTTTCGCTACAACTTTCATTTGTACCATTCCGAGAAAAAGTGCGGCACACCATCTATTTCACAAACGATGACGAAGTCCTCCAGGAAATAAAAAAGGTGGTACAACCAAACCTCGTGAACGCGATTCATTGCGGATTGCACACCTGAGCACTCCTACAGAACGAACTCGTTAAAGCCTACCCGGCAACAAAATTTTGGCACTGCAGAAATTTGGTGACCGATGTCACTAACAGAACCGAACAAAGAGAAATAGTTATAGCTGAACATAACAGCGCCCATAGAGCGGCCCGAGAGAATGTAAAACGACTCCTTGGCGATTACTATTTCCCAAAAGTGTGTAAACTATTATATAGTTACGGAAGTAATTGCAAACTGTTAACTCTGCACTCGAGCTAAATATGACAGACATCCCAAAAAACAGGAACTAGGTTTAAAACCGATACCATCATACGCGGGTAATATGCTCCATATTGACGTTTTTTCGACAGACAAAAAACATTTCTAACA